CCAGTGGGATTTGAACCGCTGAACTGCTGATCTAGCAGTAGCCTGCAGTGCTGCATTTAGCCACTGCGCCACCTTGGCTCTGGTTGTGGGTGAAAAGTTGGGTTTGGGTGGCTTTTTAAGCAGCTTTTCTTAATGTTAAGTCTTTCCTAGAGTTTGCCTTTCAATTTTTCTTGAAATGCAATCAGGGATTTGGGGGACCTGATTTTTTTTTTTAAACATCTGGTGGTCGCTAAATTTAAGAAGCCTCCCTTAGTCGTGTGTGCCTCAAAACTTTTCTACTTACACGGCTTGCAAAGATTTATCTCCTAAAATTGCTTGTGATTTAGTTGATAAAAAGGTTAAGGAAGATATAAGTGCTGTAGAATAATGACCAGCAAATGGATTTTATGTCTCCAGAATTAGCGTAACTAGTAGGACATAGGGGAAGTGTGTGCATTTGTTGGAAGATGGATGCTACAATTTGCAATATATTGTAGGAAGAATCATAAGATAGTTTCATGCCCCCAGAGAAGGCAGAGAAAAACCATAGAAGTTAAAGCAATCTCTGCCTCCCAGACAGAATGGCCTCTGGTAACCCCAATTAGAAGACTGAGGCAGGCTGAATTGATAGGATTAAGGATTAAGTCAGTAAACACAAAGCCACACTGAATTTACATTTCCCCACCTTTCCCCAAGGCTAGCCTTGACCGTGAGCACCATCCAGAAAACCAGATAGGGACAATTAGAGTATAGAATCTAATCAGATAAACCCACCAGGCATCTCCATCTCCAAAAGGGTATAAAAACCACTCTACTTCCTATGATTGTCAGATGAACTGATGCTGTCTTCTGATTCCTAGATAAATGGAGACCACCTTTCCTGTAGCTTGTTGCCAAATTCATTTTAAATGCCCATGTATTTTAAAGAATAAAGTTTGTGTCTCATTGTTGAGTTGAAAGTGGTTTGAGTGACAATTTTCCAGGCCTGTGAGTGAGTAAGTGATCATAAGCTGTACCTGAGAACACACTTGTGTAACAAGTTGCCTTTATTTTTTTAAAAGCAAACCTGATTCATCACAAAGCTTATTCGTTCTAGTGCTTATACATTCAATAACAGATCAAATTTCTGATAGTTGTCAGTGAGCTCAAATTATCTGACTTTCATATCAAGGATAACATGAATCATAGGAAATTCATTTAGCCATTTTATATAAGTTGGCCTATTACTGCTGCAATAATTTTATAAATTTGAGTAGCTATTTTAAAAAGTAGCACTTTGTTGTGTGTGAAGTAGGTTTTTTTTTGTTAACTATCAATGTTTTTAGCAGGAATTCTCATGGATTTAGGGAAAATCCATCTCAAGTAGAACATAATTTGGTAAAGCATACTGAGGTTATTTCAGGTAGTTTAAATTGTTTTGACATTACTTTCACATGGATGTGGTCACCCTGAGTCTTTAAGAATGAGTGGAATAAGGAAAAGAGGGAATATAGGAAAAGGATTGTTTTACTTCTATAATTATTTATCACTAAAATATCACTTGACATTGGAGAACAAGGAAAAATGATTGTGAAAAAGTATAACTTTTGAGAATTTTTAGTTGAAGTTTATTGGGGTGTTTTAATTGAATTGCAGACATTTGTTCTACTCTTGATTTTAAAAAGTTGCAATGTTGTCAATAGCAGAATGTATGTTAAAAGACTTGGCTTAAATTGTTTTGCATATGAATCTATTTATTTTACAACAGGTCGAGGTGGAACTAAAATTAAGGAGCTCGAAGAATCATCAGGTTGCAAAATACAGGTAAGATGTTCTAATTCTTACATGTCACAGTTTATTTGAGGTAAAATGTTTCAAGTAACTCCACAGTAACTTACTTTATGGTCAATCATAATATCCTGTCACAGAGGAGAGAACTAAATGTATACATTTAAATAGTTTACTGTTAAATGATTCTTATGTGTGTAAATATTTTAACAATTATTTGTACATGTTTTAAGTCATTTATTTTAAATCACTACAGTTACAGTATATAGATTGCTTCATTTCTAACTTTTAATTCCTAATCTAAATACCTTGTGTTTAGGTTATAAAGGGAAATTATGAAGCTGAAATAAAGATATTTGGTGGAAAAGATAAACAAACCAAAGCTAAAATGCTAATTGATAATCTTATTGAAAAGTACAGTCAAACCAATACAGGAGAAAGAGGTAATAAAGGTAAGACTCTGAAATGTGGTGTGCGTGTTTATATGTAGGCATCTCAGAAAATTTAATTTATTGATTTAATAGTGAAAAAAATATTTGGTCACTTTTGATAAGTAGTAATACATTGAGAGCTTGCAAAACATATATAATAGTAGTGGATATAAAATTTCCACCCTTCTTAGGACTGTTCAATATTCATATATATATATATATATAAGACTGTCCTCAGGTTAGGGTTAGATTTATCCTCATTTAAATTGCCTGGCAATCTGATAGGAAGCTTTTGATAACTGGAGCCTGATTTTGTTTTAACAGATTCCTGTAATATTGGAAATACTTCATACAGTCAAAGTGTGATTATAACTTCTGAAGTCAGTAATCCAAAACGAACAATTAACTGGGCCTCCCTTCGGGAAAACAAGGCTAAATATGAAGCCATGAAGTGGATAGGTAAGTGTAATAAGGTTTTTTTTAAAAAAGAAATGATAGTAGCCTTCAAGGTAAATTATTTTATCAAAAGTCATTTGTTTTAAGATTTGGATAAACATACAGAAGTCACTCCTTCAGATAACCTGTCTCTTAAGCATTTCAAGGTTTTAAAGGTCAAAAACAGCCCTTTGATACCCAATAGAAAGAGACCAGCAGTAAGCCTAGATCCGTAATGGCAAACCTATGCCACATTTGTTAGGGCACGCAAGGAGTGTGTACCAGCTGACTTCACCCTTCATTTTTGACCATTTTTCACCCTCCGGAGGCTTCCCTGAAGCCTCTGGAGGAAGAAAAGCAACCCAACACGCAAACCGGAGGTTCGAGAACAGACTTCAGTTTGTGTGTTGGGCCATTTTTCTCCCTCCGGAAGCTTCAGGGAAGCCTCCTGGAGGGTCTCGGGGGGGGGGGGGGGAGCCATTTTCGCCTTCCCCAGGCTCCTAGAAAGCTTGTGAAGCCTGGGAAGAGTGAAAAATGGGTCTTTTCACCAAGGGTGAAAAGCGCGCCAAAAGCAGGGGAGGGTGGGGGTCACACGTATATTTATTATATTATTTTTTTGCAAGCCATACTAAAACAATATTTTCTCTATAAACAACCCTACTGCAGTTGTTAGATTTAAGTCATGAATAGAATTTATTTTTAAAACACTGTAAATTACAATGTGAAAAATGGAAGCTCTTGTAACAACTTTTCTATTATGTTTAACAGATTTGCCTCCACTTGAAAAGTGTTTTTACAAAGAAGCCCCAAATATCACTCTTATGTCACAAGAAGAGGTTGATAAGTGGCGGTAAGAATTAGGATAAAGAAATTTATACTTTATATTTAACTGAGATCTTTTAGATATTTGGATCTGGAGCTGTCTACTAAATATTTAGTTAACATTTCAAAGGTATTGATGCATAATTATCATGAAATCAAAATGGGCCATTTCTATATTTCCAAAGATAGATATATGCGGTATAGTAAAATAGTTTGCATCTGTTGACTCCTTTTTGGCGAAGTATTGGCATGTGTACTATGTAACCTAAAAACTGTAGCCATGGAACAACCTTTTATTTATCAAATTTGTATGTTATGATTCTGATTAGGGTAGCTAATTAGACTAATTATTAAAGTTTACTAATAATGGTACCTAATAATACAGTTAATACAAAGCATATTTATACATTCATATTATGTAGTCATAAGGGCTAGATATCTAAGAAGCCAAAAATCACAATGATTTCTCTGGTGATTTAAAAGTTTCTGGAAGGATAGTGTGCTAGTATGCAGTGTGGTTGTGAGTGTGGATAAGAAGCAATGGATGGAAACTAATCAAAGGGAGATCCAAGATATTTGGAAGAAATATTTTGTGCAAAAAAGGTTTCCATTTGTTCATCAGAAATGAGTGAATCAACATACGGAAGTATTTTAAATATATTTTAGGCTGAGAAGTTTTACTGGTAGGAATAATGTTGTTTTTTTTTAGTTGAAGACAACTAAGGTATTCCTACCTTTTTTAAGTGGGTTCAAATACCACTATATCAATAAAGCCATAATTTAATGATTCATCTTAAAAAGGAAATTATAAGAGATAACTGAATGTCCAAGTATCTTAATCACCAATATTAAAACATACTATTCAGGTTCTGGTATTTTGGACTGGAAAACCAAATTAGGAGATCTAGTAAATACCACTATATCCCAACCAAACCATTTGTTTGCAAAAGTTATATTTATTCTACATTTACCAAATTAAAATTTACATATTAACTGCCACTGTTGCTTCTCACAATTGTCTGATGGAATTTTAATTTTGTAATATTTTTCAATGTAGGCTGGCAAATAATTTTGATTTGGGGTCCCTGAGAGGGTTTTTGGAGACAGCTCCCACCTGGGTATCCTAGGACCACTCTAGGGTATGCCAAACAAGTTGCTTTTCATAAAAGCTACAAAATATTGTTTCAAATTGTTTTCATCTAAGAAACATAACTATAACTAGACTAAACCTTGATACTAAAAAACAACAGAAGCCCCAATAATTTGTAGATTTAATTTCCAAACTACGTATATTCTCAGTAAGAAAAGCTCACATATGAATTTATCCATAAAGGCCACTAGAGGCTGCTCTTGCGCCATGCTAAAGGGAAGATTTTTTTTTTAAAATAAAGTCTTATTTTTATATAATTAACCTTGCATCTGAATTGTTTACATCTTGGGGACCTATCATTTAAAAAAAAAACTTGGTATTTTCAGGTTGACAGATCCTTTTCTACTGAGATTCTTTAATTATGTTCTTTAGCTCTCCTACATTTAGGAAAAATGCTATTTTATAATTACCTTGACTTTAGCTGAATATGTTTTTAATTGCTGAATGAGTTTTCAGCAGAACTACAAATTCTAACTCCAAATTAGAAACTTTTCGCATTTGTTAGAAACTTTTTAGATTTTAACAGATTTTTATAGTAAATGGAAAAAAAACCACCTTTGACATTTTCATATTTCTGCCTTTGGATTAAATGGGCAGAGGGGAACAGTTTTTTTGTGATAATGAGTGTGAATCATTATTCTCACAGAGCAGACTACCAGATTATTTTTTATTGGTATGTTGAACACTGTTGATTGGCATAATCAGTATCATATGTTATTTGTTATATACGTAAATATAAGCTCTTAAGCAAACTTAAGATGAAAATTTCGGTTTTGGAGAACCATTTGCAGATGGCTCTGACAAAAATAGAGCCTCTTAAATTACATATAAAGAGTTATTATAGATTTAATGGCTATAGCCTTTCTAATAGTAAGTATAACACTGAGTTATTATAGATTTAATGGCTATAGCCTTTCTAATAGTAAGTATAACACTGAGCAATCTATTATAAGAATAAACAATGTTTTCATTATGTATATTTTTTATTAGAATTCTTTTTAAAAACAAATGCTTTACGCATGTGCACATATAAGATGAATTTGCACTGATTAGCAGACCATTTCAGGGTAGAAGCATTCAGACATTTTGTTCTGTCCTCACCAACTATTGGTTTCAGAACATTTTTAAGGAATGTATAGAATTATATCTTACTTTAAAAGTATTAGACTAAAGCATAATAGTATTTAATTCATCCTTTCTCGTTGATTTTGATTATAAATCTTTATATAATTGTCCAGAATAAGTTTGTGCATAAAATATCCTAATCTGTCATAAACATATGATAGCACTCTTATCAAAAATTGATGTAAAACATTGTTTCTTTGACTTTGTTTTTTTATTTAAGAAAAGAAAACAATAGTATTTCGTGTGATGATCTGAAAGATGGTGAAAAACGTCGTATTCCTAATCCTGTTTGTAAGTTTGAAGATGCTTTTAAACATCATCCTGACATCATGGCGAATATAAAAAAAGTTGGTTTTGAGAAGCCTACTCCAATTCAGGTATTTTAGTTTTATGATCTAATTAGTATGAAACCATTTCTGTTTCCATTTCAGCAAATTCACAGAGGTTTTTGTTTTAGTCACAGGCTTGGCCAATCATACTTCAAGGATTTGATCTCATTGGAATAGCACAGACGGGTACCGGAAAGACACTGGCATATTTAATGCCTGGATTCATTCATTTGGATTCACAACCGATGTAAGAACAAGATGAGATAAAACTTATTATATTGTAAAGTCAGATCCGGGGCCTGGGCCTTGAGTTTGACACCCCTGTCAAATTACTGTTGATAAGTCAGATAAAGTAGCTCTGCCTACCATGGGTTGAGAATGAGTCACTGACTCCGTCATGATCCAAAAATATAAGTAGCTTATAAATTCTGTATGCTTTTTTTTTTTTACTTATTTCTTTCTACAGTTGTGTTTTGGAGTATGGCTTTACTGTAATCTGAATTAAAGGGACTGACTGAAATTCTTAGGTGTCCTCTATTCTTTCCATTGTCACTAAGTCTCTTTTCTGAGGATTTCCTCAGGTTGATTGTCTAAAGAAGTTGTACTTTTTCAGTTCTAGAGAAAAACGCAATGGACCAGGGATGCTGGTTCTCATTCCAACTCGAGAACTGGCCCTTCAAGTTGAAGCAGAGTGCTTAAAATATTCCTATAAAGGAATTAAAAGGTACTAATCTACATTCCCTTATTTGGCAGGTTTTAGGTGTGTTTTTTCTGAACCTGTAGCATAATTTGGCTAAAAGGTTAAGTTGTATTCTAAAGTTATATTGATCTTATTTTGATATGCAGAGTGATTATAACTAACCAACATCTAGCAACTATTGGCAGTATATTCAAAACTATTAGGAAAAGCAGAATAGACAATCAAGAACAGACCTTGAATTTCTTTTCCATCACCCTATAAACCTTTCTTATGTGTAATGTTGTATTCTTAGATCTAATTTAAAGAAGCCCCTATGTTAATTAAATCAGCAATATGTTGGAAAAAACAACACTCCACTTAGTGATAAATTTTAAACATATTTTTTCAGATAAGCGATATTTTTGGGGTTGTTCAAATGTTCCTTTTGCTATTATTTAGGAAAGTAAAACATTATGAAAGTCTTTATAAAATTTGTGAAGATTGTAAAATATTAAAATACATAGTAGCATGTCAGTTCAGTTCTAAATGCTGAATCACCATTCTTCCTAGCATATGTATATACGGTGGTGGAGACCGAAAAGGACAAATTAATACGGTTACCAAAGGCGTAGACATTGTTATTGCTACTCCTGGCAGATTGCATGACCTGCAAATGAACAGTTTCATAAATCTGAAAAGCATAACATATTTGGTAAGTGGTCACCACTATGCATAAGGTGGGAATGTTAAAATATTCATATGTTGATAATTGGCTGGAACACCTTCTAAGTCTATTTGTTACTATGTTCTCCTCCAGTTTCCTTTTAAATAGTGAGATAAACATTACATAACTATGGGCATGTTCAATTTACACTTATTTACTGAGATGAAAATGAATTCCTGTGCATTTTTCCTAAAGCTGTTCTCCCTACCAGCCCAAACCACTTTGGCTACTGTTTCCTTCTTTTTATGTGCGGGTGAGTGCAACTTTGGTTATAAACAGAAGTAAAATTCAATTAAATAGTAAACGCAGACTGGAAACAAAACATTGTCATCTGTTCAGTGTTTTGACCAGTTTAGCTATGCTTTCTTCCAAAGTTTGCAGTACCATTTTGTCTTCATTTTTCTGGTCTGATTTTTTTTTTTGTCCCTTATGCCCTTAGTTTTCTATTATCTTTGGAAACTGTTTTGTAAAGATGCGGTTTTGACTATAAAACCACACACTGAGATCTGTGTTACCGGTGGTACAAACAGATAACATATTCATTTAAAGCTATCTTACGTTTATTTTGTGGCATATATTGCTACTAATTCTCGGAAGAGTAAAATCTCTGGTCCTGGTGATCAACCCAAATCTAACAGTAGCTAATGCCTTTTTGCTTGTTAAGTCTATTCTGCTGGTAGGTCTTCCAGATATTAGACAGATAGACAGACAGATACATACATACATTTGTGTGACATTTATACAACATGCCTCAACTGCAGTCTCTTTGGTTTGTGGACACAAATAGAATTCATAGAATGTGTCATGGTGCAATTCATAAAAATGCTATCATGACATGTTTTCGACTCTCATTACTCTGCCTTATATAAAAGATCAAAAAATAATAAGCTGCAGATTGCAAGATTGAATTGAAAAAACAGATAAATATGTAAGTTTTCCCTGCTTTCCATATTATGATATGTGAAAAAAGAAGTAATTCTAATATAAACAGACCATAATCCAGGAACAATCCTATAGGAAAGAAGAAAGCACTGAAATAACAAATTTTTGTTGCCGCTTGAAACACAAAGTAGGAAAGCCTACTGAATAAAACCTTCATCAAATGTACCTACTGTTTTTGAATGTTAATATAATAATATAAAAATAATTTATTCACTTGCTCAAAGACCAAAAGATCAGATACAGTGTAGTCCAGTAAAGCAGAGTAAGACCGCTAACAAACTTTTAGGGCAAAAGTAATTAGATAATACTTGTCTAAGACCAGATTCAAACCCAGCCCTTTCAAACCACAATCCAACATGAACAAAATTTGATAAACTCTCCTGGAAATTTCTGTAGTCAGTCTCCTAATTTTTTTTTTTTTAAAAAAAAAACACACTCCTGTTCAGACTAACTTATATATTTAAGTTAATAACGGTTATTAAATTGGATTGTCAGATGTGGTACAAGAAGTGAAGCCGTCCTAACAAACCTGTCTGAACAAGGTGCTTCTGACATGAAATGTTATTCAAGTGGTGATCATGTGACAGTTGGTCACGGGTACCATGCAGGATTCGCCTAATGATTCCAATTGGGACTGCCGTTGTAAATTGACATGGTCACGCGATAACATGCTTTATAACTGCACCACTTAACTATGTAATGAGTTAGTTGAATTTTTAGCAGATATATAGTTACATATCAAAGCTAAAACTGGTAACAGTATTACCTATGAAAATAACAAGCACTCTTTGATATTATGTAAAGGGCCCTCCAGGTTTTTTAAAGTGAGGATGAGATGTAATGTGGTAATAAAGAATCTGTTCCTCCAGTAGATGCTGACAATTAGAAAAATTGAATTCAGCCCTGTGTGATGTTTGAGTGATAAACTATCTTAAAATGTGACAGCACTGAGTGCTTTCTCCCAGGTTATATTCCAACAGCAGGAAAAAACTGGAAGGAAGAATTTGAAAAGAGAGAGGCACAGAGTCCAAGCTAGAGAATACCTGCCCCTAAC